AGACGCTATGCAGCTGACAGGTGGGCAGAGCTGCAGGTCACTGTCCGAGGCAGCCACTAACTCCTGCATCTTCCAGTCCGGCCTGCGTGCCAGGATCCTATTCGGCCCCAGACGCTGGGGGCCCCTCCTGCAGCCAAAAGGGCCGCTGGCACCCTAATGTGGCCTGTTCCACCTACCTGCACACCCCCTGCTCGCAGAGTGCCACAGCCAATTGCTCTGCAAGACCTGGCCTCCTTGTAATTTCCAATTTGTGAGAAATGTAAAAATAGAAGGCCATTCGCTGCAGGCAGCTTGCATCAAATCGGATGCCACTTTCGTGTCATGTCAGATCACGGTAAACGGAACTGATGGCTTCGTTGGCCGCTCTCAATGGCTTCCAGAGCAGCAAGAGGGTGGTGACAAATCGGGGGACACTTGAGAGTTAGGGGAAGTTGGCCAGGTGCACAACATCAGCACCAGCTTTAAACAAGTTCACAGTACAGGTCACGAACATGCTGTAACAGAAGGCGCCGGGGTGTGAATCCCAGGTCTGCAACTTAGCAAGGGAGGGGCCCTGGGCACAAATTCCTCTCTCTGTGCCTCAGCCTCCCCAGCTATCAACCAGCAGCTGCCGAGTAGCTGGCCTCCCTGGGCTGTGGCACGGTGCAATTGACAGAATGGCTGGGGCAGTGTCCTCCAACTGTGCACCTCCTTAAATGGGGCATCGTGGTCCTTGCCAAGGCAGCAAGGCCAGGGGCATTTCCAGAGCGGAGAGGGCAGCCCCTTGCGGTCGCATTTGGGTTCCAGGGCCATTGATTTGCCCAGCGATCCTGCAGCAAGTGCCTGAGCCTCTCTCTCAGTCTCCACACCTGCACAGGGACGATTCCACTACGCATCTCACAGGGTTTGGTGAAAATTAAATGCAATAATATAACTAAATACCCAGCACATTCCCTGGCAGATCATCAGCTTGCAATAACTGTCATCGAGGATATTATCATTGGAACAACGTTAGTGGGTTTTTTTCTGTTTACGACTGAAGCCAAGTCGCTGCTGAAATATCACAGCTTGCGTTCGCGCCGACCGTCTATGCCAGTACCCTTCTCTCTGCTAGGAGCCGGCTGGCTTCCCGCTGACTCTCAGCCCCCATCCACGGCTCCCAGTCTTCGGAAGAGTCGGGAGTGAAGAAGCTGGATGTCCCCAGGCCCACTGAGGCACATTTCCCCGGGAAGCCCTATCTTGGGGTCCACTACTGGCCTCTGAGCCTTTTCCCCTCTCAAGCACCACCCTCCTTCCTTCCACCTCCCAGTGACCTTCAGAGAATGGGGCAAAGGTGGCAAAAGGACCATGGGTGCGGGGCCCAGCTGAGGAGCCGGCGCCGAGGAAGACCGAGGGGCGGTGGACAAAAGTCAGAGGAGCCAGCCTGAGAGGGGCCTGCGGCTCTCAGCAGGTGCTGTCCACTCCAGGCTGTTTTCATCACGGCAGGGGCTGCGCTCTGCCCACCTTCTCCGGGCACAGAGAAGCTCAGGGAACTCTGCACGGTGGAACTGAAGGGGCAGTTCTGACCTGGGGAAAGACAGGCTGCTGACCCGTCTCCGTTTCCATCTGGGGAGCCAGGTGATTAAGCAGCTCTGACTGGGTTTGGCGTTGGGGCTGCGGCTGGGGGAGAGGGCTTAGGTCACAGGGAAGGAGGCTGGGCCAGGGGACAGGGAGGCGCTCAGGCATCTCGCCTGCTCCCAAGGACAAAGGGGAGGGACTTCAGGATGCGGAGAGGCTGCAGGCTGCAGGCAAGGCTTCACCGACTGGGGTTGACACTCAGCCTGTGCTCCTCACACAAGCAAGAGAGGGGGAAAAATACCTCTCCGAATTCCAAGTGGCTTGGGACGTCTCTATCTCAGCTACTGAGCTCCCAGCCAAGTGTGGGAACAGCGTCTTTATGTGATGGTGAGAAGCCGCCTGACACTGTGCTTTATTTAATGTTGCTCTTAGCATATGCTGGGAGGATGGAGGAGCAGCCATTGCTCAGAGAGCAGGCCCAGGGGCCCCCGCCAACCATCAAATCTCGACCATCAGCCCACCACCACACTTTATGGAGGTGAAAGCTGAGGCCCAGAGACCCAGCAAGGGGGCAAAGTGTTGGCCTGGAAATCAGAAGAGCAGGGTTCGAACCCCCACCCTGTCTCTTCCTAACTGCGTGACCTTGGGCAAGTCACTTGCCCTCTCTGTACTGTACTTTCCTCAGCTCTAAAGCGGGGATTAGAATAGTTCCTGCCGTACTAGGTTACTGCAGGAGTTAGAAGTAGGCACAGTGGAAGGTGTCCGTACTCCATCCTTCCTTCCAACGGGAACGAGAGCTTACAGGAGGTCACCTGGCCAGAAAACAGCAGCACCCGGGCTCAAAGCGCCCCCATCCAGGCTCGTTCCTGGTCGTGGTCTCAGAGGCCACATTTTGCAGCCTCCCCGGTTCAGTGACATAGGTAGATACTGCAGGGAGGTCCACACCAGCATCGTCATCACCTTCCATCCATGCAGGCTTTACTCTACAGCACTTATTGAGTGCCTGCTGTGTGCTGGGCCATGCAGAAGCACACTCACAGGATTTGGAGCGCCGGGTTGCCAGGCACGTGGAATCTGCAGAGAGCACAGCTACTGTGCTTCTTTCAGCTTTGACAGACTTGCTTTTTCCTTGTCTTTACCCTCAGAGTTGCCTCCTCCTTGGCCTCTAGACGGCCCTCCCAGCCCCATCCTGAGTTCCTCGGGGCCCCACTTCTCCCCAAGCCTCCAGCCCTGGAATAAAGGGTCGCACATCAGGAGAGTGGGTTCCCGCTTTCTCTCCCACAGCAACTGCCTCTCTCCCGTGTGGCTCCTAGGGATTGCCCCATTCTCCAGATGCTCTGCCAGACAAGCCGGGCTGTGTCCCGCTGCCTGGGACTCTCTGTTTGTCCTCCGAGGACTGGCCACTGCACCGGCGCTTGGCTGGAGAGAGAGCGCTTTCTTTGTCTGCCGCCTGCCTGACAATTTATTTCTCAGGCTCGAGGGAGGCTCAGCCATTTTGCCCAGGCTGCTCTGGGAAAAGGTCCCTCCCCATCCTCCAGGGACTTACACCTCCAAGGGCAGGTTCTCCTCTCCTCCTCTGCCTGGGGGAGGGTCTGAGGCTGCAGGACCAGGACCAGAGCAGCGGCTGGGTCAACCCTTCCCAGCAAGATTGCTCCAAAGAGAAAGAGAGACAGAGTGCCAGATGCCTGTAGTTTCACTGACCTCCTTTGTTCCGGAATTTGGAAGTTGGGGCAGCCTTTTCAGACTCCCTTATGAATGCATTTCCCCCGAAGTTCCCGAAGAGAGGATCTAGGCAATACCCATGCCCCCTCTCATGCCAAACACCCACCTTGTGTGTCACAGAATAAAGAAGGTCCACCCTAAAGTCCAATCACATAGCCTGACACAATCTCTGATTTTGGGGTTGTCACCAAAACTCGGAGCCATTTTATCCAGCCCCCTCCCCCCCCTTCCGCCAGTTCTTCATGGGGACGAGGCTGCACTTCCCGGAGGAGGGAGGGGGAGCTCCGGCCCCACACAGGAAAGAAACTGGGCATTATCCCTTGGTTTTAGAAAATCTGATTTTCTCCTTGGGGTTCACATCTATTTGGGGAGGAGGTTAGCTCAGAGCCCCAGTGGTCGGTTGCCCCGTCGGAGTTCTGGTATGAAGATCAAGTCAAGTCAGAACAGGGCATCTGTGGGTGTCACCCCTGGGAACGTGCAGGTACAGATGGGCCACAAGCACGGAGATGCAATGGTCACTGCCCCAGGGGGAACCGCGGTGGCAGGGTCGCTCCTGTCCCCATCCCCGGGAAGTAACTGTCGGGACATAAGGCGTGAGGGTGACAAGGGGCCCTGTGGTAGCGAGGAGCCACAGCCCTTGAGCCCTCTGGGGGCGCCCCTCACCCCACATTCCTGGGAAAGGAGTTGGGAGTGCGGCGCCAGTTTGCGTGCGCTCAGCCCAAGCTGTGATGCGCGTTTCAGCCAACATTTCTTGAGCGCTTGAGCTGCCCCAGGATAGACAGGAGGTGCCCCATTCCCAAGTCGCCTGTCCCCTATAGCGCTCGGAGAATAAATGAAGGGCACAGCTCGATCTCGGCGCAGCTGACCCCGAGACGGAGAGGAGGCGCAGGTCCCCCAAACGCTCTTACCATTCTTTCCGGGGGGGCCCCGCCATCCCCTGGGGAGTGGACGCGGCGCTTCGACAGCTCCAGCAGAAACCAGTGCCAGCCGCGGGCGGGGGTGGGAGGGGCAAGGGGTCCCGCGACACGGAAAGGGCATGACATTCTCGCGACCCCCGCGGAGTCCCCGGCCCCTCACCCTCGCGCGCCCAAGGGGAATGGCCGGGGCGCACGCCGACGGTCGAGGCGGGACCCCGGCTCCAGCTTGTGGCCCGCGGCGCGGCGAGAGCGGGACTTGGCATCTCGGGGTGTCCGCCCCCGCCCCGCCGTCCCGTCCCGGCCGTCCCGGGCTCCGCTCCCCGCGCCCCGACGCCGCCGCCCGTTCCTACCTGCGGCCGGGGCTGCGCTGCCCGCGGCGGGCGCTCGGGGCGCGGGCCGCTCCGGGTCGGGCCGCGCTGCGCTCCGGCTCCTCGGCTCCTCGGCTCCTCGGTTCGCGCAGCTCCCCGCAGGCTCGCCGCTCGCTCGGTCTTTCGAGGGCGGGCGGAGGGACGCGGGGAGGGGGCCGGGGAGGGAGGGCGGAGGAGCGCGCGGGCGGGGAGATGCGCCCGGAGCCCGCCCAGCCGGGGAGGGCCCTGCCCGCCCCGCGCGCTCCCGGCCGCCTCGGCGCAGCTCCCCGCCGGCCCCGTCTCCTCCTTCCCCCTCAGCCCCTCTCCCTTCACCCCTTCTTCTTCCCTCCTTCTCGCTCCCACTCCCCCTTCCAATTCTCCCCTTTCCCTCTACCCCCTTTCTTCTCTCTCTCCTCCCTCCCTCTCCCAGCATCCCCTCACCCTTCTCGCCTGCTCCCCTCTCCCCTCCTCCTCTCACTTTCTCCTTCCTTCTCCTTCAGTCCGTGGGCCTTTTCCCTGCCTTGTCCTGGGGTCAGCAGTCTGTCTGTCCTGGTCTCTGTCTCCCAGTCCTCTTCTGCATGGATTTCCCTTTTGGCTTTTCTCTTTCCAGCTTTGCAGGTCTGCTTCTGTTGGTCTGTCCTTTTTGTTTCTCTTTCTCTGTCACCCTTTCTCTCTCTGTGGGTCACAGGCCCCCTCAGTGTGGATGGGGTGGCTCCTGCCCCTCTGCTCTCCTCCCCCGGCAGCCTCCCCTGCCTGTTACATGGAGCCCGCTGCTGACCTGGAGCCAGCAGGCTCTTGGTACCAGGCTGGGTGTGCGTGCGGCTGGAGCCCGGGCTGGGGAGGACTCCCTGTCTGCCGCCAGGGGTTGGACGTGGAGACACAGTGGCTATGTGTGTGGATGGACAGAAGGATAAACAGATGACCAAAAAGGCGAACACAGCCTGGAAAAACACCCAGGGAGGGCGGCAGAACCCCCAAGACACCTTCCTCCTTCTTCTTGAGGTTTCAGGGATTGTTCCAGAGCAGCCTCTCTCACAGCCAATCCCAGCCCAGCGCCTGAGGACTCCCTCCCTCCCCTTGCCAAGTCCTGAACCCCCCCTAACAAAGGCTCCTGGGAATGGGGCCACTCTGCCCTTCCCTCTGGGTTCCACGAGGACTCACAGAAAGGATTCCTGCTCTCCAGCCCTGACCTGCCCTTCACCTCCTCTCTCTGTCCCCAGGGCTGGCATTTGCTGACTGACTTGCCACCTCCCACCCCTCATTGCCCCTCCCTCTGGTCATCCACCCTGGCGTCCCACAACACACCGTGCTCCCCAAGGTCACCCTGACTTGTGCCTCTTTCCCCATGCTGTCACCCACAAATGGGGAATCTTGATATCTTCCTTCACCCCCCCCCACCCCCCACTGCTCACCAGCTCCCGGTGCTCCTGCCCTCCACTGGGACTTCAAGTAAGTACGTACTGAGCTCCTTCTATCTGCCAGGCACTGTCCTAGGCTCTGGGGACACCGTGGTGGACAAGACAGGCCACAGAGCTTGAGGTGGTCCTGGTCCAGCGTGGAAGGTAGGCTTCTGTCAAATACCCACACAAGCTCAGACTGGCAAGCTCCTCCAGGAGCTCACATTTCAGGGGACCCCAGTCCAGCTTGAGACGGCAGAGGAAGGGTTCCTCAAGGAAGTGCCATTTAGGCTGAGGGCCGCAGGATGAATAGGAGCCGTGTGGCGGAGATGTGGGGCACAGCTTTGAGCAAGGATGTGAGGGTAGCAAAAATGGAAGCTATTTTTGCTTACCTGACATTCATTTCAACTTCTTCGGGTGAGAGCACCTCAATTTTGATTTGCGGGACTTCCCCTCCTCCACTCATGTTCCCACGGTTGGGTGGGGCCCCTTCTTCCAGAGGTGCACGTGTGACCCGGGCACAGCCAGGGCATGGCCCCTTGATCTCGATGGGCGGACATGTGACATATACTGGGTCAACGAGAGCTCTTCCTGGGACTTTTACTAAAACTGTTGTCAACCAGAGGCTTGATCTCCACCAGGGTTCCTAAGCCTGGAGCTGCTGGCAGCCTTCTTTGCCACACCTTGAGCAAACTCTGCCTGAAAATGAAGCCGACAGAGAGGAAGGCAGAACCAAAAGATGGAGAGTGGACTGAGTCCTGATGAATATTGTTTGAGTCCCGGGATCCAGCCACGCCTGAAGGGAGATCAGTTATTTCAATCTCATTAAGTTCCTTTTTGTCACTTATGCAAGTTTAAGTTCAGTTTATGTTGCTAAAAACCGAAATAGTCCTGAAGAATCCAGTGCTGGATTGAGAAATATGAAGCATTGCTTACATAAAGAAATGATAGTAACCATTTTCGTTCCCCTTTCTTCTTTCAGGTCTCCTGGATAACCTCGCTCACAATTTGTCTCTTTCATGTATATATACGTATATTCCTAATCAGAAGTTAATCACCCTCTATTTTCGTTGCTCTAAATGCGTTTTGCCTACAGATGAAAGCAACCTGGCTGTCAGGTCAATTTCATAGGCTGACCAGCTGATGCTTGAATTATCTCCAGGACGGTCCCCGGCCCCCGCCCCGCCCCCACGACTGTCTAGCATCTGTCTGCACATCTCCAGTGCTGGGAGCTTATTATTCTACCAGGCATTGGATCTCAAACAACAAACTCTATCTTGGTGAAGTCTGGGAACTGTCTTCTGTGCGTTGGGGCTTCAGATTAGGGACGCTGTACTGTAAAGGCGAGGTGGCTGCCTGCGGGGCCTCCATGTCCTTCCTAAAGCCCAGGTCGAAGTCTTCCAGAGAACTCACGTGTGTCCCCCAAGGGCTAGAGTGACGGGTTCTGTTAGCATAGTTCCCAAAATGAGGGCTGGCGACCACTGGCAGTAGTAGGATAACTTTCCATAGAGTAGAATAACTTGGCATGAGCAGCTCTCTGTGTCCATCTCCCTGTAACATCCTTGTGACTTCTGTTGGTGGCGAGGCTCAGGTTGATGCTAATCTGTCTTTAACACCTCTCTGTACCACTGGCTAGTGCTGTTTTAACTGAGAGGTGGGCCCTAGGACTCCAGCCTTGGTAGACAACAATGTCTAGTTAGAATTGAATGCTTGCTCACTTGTCCTTGTATTTATTTTAATGGAGACCTATTTCTGGCAAGTAATTCTGGTCTTCTAGTTATAGTATCATGTACAGTTTCCTTTTGAGATAAATTTATTTAATCTAAAAAAGGAAAATATTTAAGAAAATAAAAATAGACACAGTGCCCAGATTTTTGCAGAACTCTTGTAGCTGGTTTGCAGATGACTAAAGTTTGAGTAGCCTAATTTAGAGAAACATTTCACCCATGTGTTCATTCACTCAACATATGTTTATTGAACACCTCTGAGTACGCAGCCAGGGTTGGGGGGGGGGGGGTCCAGACAAGACAACACAGTTGACAGGAGATTCCATTAGAGAGGGCTGGGCCTGAGCGTGGAAGGCCCAGTGCCGCATTAAAGCAGTGAGGTTTGACCTTGGGGGGCACTGGGGAGCCACTGCATGTGCTGGAGCAGACGAGTAACGAAGAGTTTAAGGGAGCTGAGACTGGCCGGGTACACGAGGCGGATCCAAGGGGAGAAGATTAGAAGCCTGGGGAGCGGCAGGAAGCCGCTGTACTATTGCAGGTGCATCAGGAGGACTGCTGGCACCTCGCAGAGGGCGCAGCACACCGTGGGCACCAATACGTGGTTGAAACTATCATGGTTAATATTACCGTAGTCCTCTCCTTTCCTTGACTTGGGGTAATTCATCGAGTCATGGACTGACAGGCGCCACACTGGAAATGGCCCTTAGATATGACCCAGTCGAATAACTACATTTTTAAAATGAGTAAACTGAGGCTCAGGGAGATGCAATGACTTGCCTGAGGGCACCCAGCTATCTGATGGCAGAGCCAGGAAGATGATGACTACCAGCTACATTTGGGGACACTTGCTGCATGCTGATCAATGACACACAGCGAAACAAAGGCCCAGAGTCACTAGCCCAAACTCACACAGCGGGGGTCCCAACTCAGGCCTGCCCACTTCTGAAGCCAGTGCTCTAGGCCATGAAGCTCATTCATCTGCCACCCCAGGCAGCCTCCTATTGGCCGTGAGTGATGCTGTGGGAAGAGACCTGATCTGGATGCCTAGATCTGTCACCATCCTCTGTGTGACCTTGGGCAAATCCCTTTCCCTCTCTGAGCCCCAGTTTCCTCACCTGTCAGTTAAAGAGCCTGCACTTCCCTCTGCCATCCCCGGTCACCAGGCTGCTGGGTGAAGGCTCAGGAGAAAAGCCAGGCCAGAGGCTGCGCCCAGCTCCTTGCCCAGCCTCCCACCCTGAACCAGCATCAGCTGCTTCTAGCAGACGCTGCCTCCACGGACAACAGAATTCCATCTTCCACATTCTCCAAAATTACAGTCAGACTGAGCAGGCTCCCTCCACCTGAGCAAACAGCCCCTGTAGGGAGACAGCGCTTCAGTGCTTTGTTCTCAGAAGGGATGCTGTTACCCTAACCACACCCCCCTCTGGGCTAGAAATTCCATTAGCAAAAGAGCCGCCGCATTAACGTGCGGAACCACTTGAAAAACCACAATAAACCTCGTGGGAGATAATAGGACCGAGATCATTTTGTTATCCTGTCCCTGAGTCGCACTAGGACGGGTCTCCAGCGGCGGCCTCGTTGCCAAATGTTCAAATATTTGTGTGTGTCGTCCCATGCTGGGGTCAATACTTAAACACCTCGACAGAGGGCCACTCCCAAAGAGGACCCCCTGAAGGAGGGATGGGGAGCAGCCTGCGCCCGGTGCAGCTTGAGCCTGTCCCCCGGGACGGCCGGGTGAGCCTCTCCCCACAGCGTGCAGCCTGGGAGTGATGTGCAGGCTTCGGACCAGACAGACTTGCACAAGTGACCTCCCCTTTCTGGGCCTCAGTCTTCTCATCTGTAAACGGGGAGCAATGAGAGCATCTCCCTGACAAGTTTGCTAGGAGAAAGCTGGGTGACGCTCGGTGCACGGTGAATGTTCAATAGATGTACATTATTCAGGGTTCATGAGCTGGGAATGGCCCTCCCTCCGTCCCTCCCTCCCTCCCTCCCCAGGTGACAAGATCCTAATTGAGGGTCGAAGGTGATCTCAAATGCTGCCGCCTCCACGAATCAAGCCTGATTTTTGCCCAGTTCCATACGATTCCTTCTCCCCTTGAATTCCCTCATGTCTTCTTCCTGCCTCTCTGTGGGTACTTAGCACTCTCCCCTGGGTGGAGGTAGGACTGCTGTCCCTGGAGCCCTGCACGCATGAGGGGCTCTGTCCTCGTTGACCCTTGTATACCCCCAGTGTAGACAGGCTGGGACTCTTGGGGTCCTTCCACACCGACTGTCTGCATCCAGCCACATGAACGGTTCTGCATCAGTGCCCTGCAAAAAGCTCCCAACTCTGGGCCTTTACATGCGCTGTTCCCTCTGCCAGGAACACTGTCCCCTTATCCTCTTCTCTATTCTGCAGGTTTCCTTGTGGATGCCAGCGGGACAGCCCTGCCCTCCTGGCCTGGCCGGGTTCCCAGGCTATATTCTCTCTGCATATTTCCCCATCACAGAAATGCACACACCCGGTGGCCTAACTCTTGAGTTCATCCTCTGTGTCTCCCGCTGGCCTCTCAGTTATGTGGAGTCAGGAATGGGCAAACAGCCCGGGCCTGGCATGCAGGAAGCGTTCTCTAAGCGTCTGTGTCACAGAGGGATGCGCAAAGGAAGCCGTGTGCTGTGTCTCTCTCCAGCATCAGGTTCCTGAGGACCCGCACGTCTGCCCCTCAGACAGACAGGGTGCGAG